TTGGGGAGGAAGGTGAGGATTGGGGGAGGAAGGTCAGGATTAGGCTGGAGCAAAGCTGGATCATTCAAAGCTGACTCAGCTCCAACTTTTTGGAGTTTTTTGGAGTTTTTTGGGATGGGGAAGAGGCTGCAGCCACTCTGCTGGACCCCAAATTGTGCATCCCCAAAATGCACATCCCCGGGAAATCTGGAGTCGGGGAAGTTCCTGAGCCGCCAAGCTGAGCAGAAGCAGCTCTGAATTAAGCTAATCTTAATTAGGGATCTCCAAACCAACCCCACATCAATTGCAGGATTCCCCAGGCACTGCAGGATGGCACCAGCTCGTGGTAATTGGATCACTCAGGATTATTCCCAGTGAAATAAATCCCCACATCTGACCACAGAGAAAATTCACATTCTGTTCCTTTTTTTTTTCTTTCTTTCCTTCTTGCCTTTTCAGACTTTATCAAACTCAATTTACAGACAGAAAAGCTGCAAAATAGTTTAATAAAACAGAAAAACAAGGTTGCAGAGCCCTCACCTGACAGCAAATCTCAAATTTTAAGCAAAACCATCACCCCAGAGCCAGAGGTGATGGTTTCGCTTAAAATTTGAGATCTTTGCTTAAAATTTGAGCCCAGGAGCAGGAGAGGTCCCAGCTCTGGCTGCTCTCACCCTGCCCATCCAGAGGGAGCAAGCAGGGCCCAGCTGGGATGGATTTCATGGATTTTCCTGCTCACACTCCTGCCCTGAGCCGAGTTTATTCCCTGCATTGTGGGGAGGTGAGGCCAGGACAGCGCCCAGAGCTCTGGCAGCAGCATTTCCCTACAGCAATCTGAATTTATAACCTGCTCATGGCAGCTTAAAGAAGGCAGGCACTGGGCTCCTAAATCCCTGAAATTAAAGGGGATCCAGAAATCCCAAAATTTGGGAGTTTTCTCCCTCCTGAGCTTCCCACAGACAACCAAAGGCAGCTTTCACACACAGCCTTAAATAAGGATTAAATCCCACACTGACACACGGCTCCATCATCCCAGAGGATCCCAAAATTCCCCTGGCAAAGGAGCCCAGAACTCTGGGAATTCCCAGGGATCCAGAAATCCCAAAATTTGGGAATTCTGTCCTTCCTGAGCTTCCCACAGACAATGTGCTGCTGCCTTGCCAAAGGCAGATTTCACACACATGTGGGATTTAATCTTTATTTAAGGCTGACNGTTCCCCAGGAGGGCCCATCTGCTTCCCTGAGCCCCAGCAGCACAGCCAGGCCACACACTGAGGGCCACCAGCAGCTCCTGGCCACCAGCCCCGGGGTTTTGTCCTCTCCAGGATCCCCCACAACATCCCAGGAGAGCAGGGATGGAACAGCAGCATCCCACAGGGGAGAGGATCCACCCCGAGCCAACAGAGCAGGTGCTGGCTCTGCAGCAGATGGGATTTGCCTCCTGCCCATTATGGGATGGGATTTGGGGTGGGATTTGCCTCCTGCCCTCCCCTGTTCTCCAGGAGCAGGAATAAAATGGGAATTTTGGCTGTGGAGGGTGGGAGCGTCCACAGACAGCAAAGCGCGAACTGTGTGGGCAGCAAAGGCAAACAGGAAAGGATCCAAGAGGCAGGAACAGGATTCTGGCAGCTCCCAGCTCCCTGCTGCTCCCTCAGACCCCTGGCCCTGCTCAGACATGTCCCAGTTCCGCTTTCACTGCCGCAGTTCCTCCATCCAAAGGGCTGGATTGACAAAAATGCAGCTGCAGAGCCACGGCCCCACTGCAGGAGCTGCTCCCAGCAGAGCTGCCTCAGCACCCTGGGCCTGCACCCACGCCCACGCTGGGCCCAAAAAACTGGAAAAGGGAAGTCCTGGCATGGCTGTGTCCATCCCTCCCTCCTTGTTTCTACCCCTCTTTCCCTGCTTCCATCCCACTCTCCCTGTTTCTTTCTCTCCATTTCCACCTTTCCCTGTTTCCATCCCTCTCACCCTGTGTCCATCCCTCTCTCCCTATTTCTTTCTCTCCTTGTTTCCATCTCTCTTCCCCTTGTTTCCACCCCTCTCCCTGTTTCCATCTCCTTTTCCCTATTTCTACCCCTCTCCCCCTATTTCCATCTTTCTCTTCCTATTTTCATTCCTCTCTCCCTGTTTCCATTCCTCTCTCCCTATGTCCATCTCTCTTCTCCTTGTTTCCATCTCTCTTCTCCCTATTTTCACCCCTCTCTCCTTCTGTCCAACCCCCTCTCCCAATTTCCATCCCTCTCACCCTGTGTTCC